TCCCAGAAATTGCTCAAGTAGTGTGCAGCAGCCATTCAGGGGGATTCTAAGTAGCTGTGCTCTGGACCAGTTAAGTAGCTCTCATGGAGCGAATGATTTTGAGCTAACATGCAAGTAAATAAAGTGTGAGCTTAAGGAAAATTGTTTTATCCAGAAGACTGAATATCAATGTAAAAAATGAATTTTGCTTCTGCATCATGATGATGCTTTTCCTATGAACTGCTTATTGCATGGAAACCCTACACCACACAGAGCGCTCCTCTGAACACCCAGCACATGGTTGTTTTCAATATCCTGCTTCTCCTTTGGCGCTCCTTTCTGCCCCCTCTGCCTCCCCCACTCTGTCAATTAATGAATCAGATAGGAAGAGATGCTCCTTCTCACATGTACTGTTGTAAATTACTGAAGACAACATTTCTAATTACCACCATTCACCTACAGGCCCAGCCTCCCTCCCTTTCCATGTCCCCCTCCCAGACCGTCTCCTGCCTCTGGCCGGGAGTTCTCTGTTTCCGTTTCATCTCCCTTCCATACCTCGGGACAGGGAGGTGTCCAGGAAGCCAGGCCAAAACCAGCAAATTTATCACTGTGCTAATGACAGCAAGCTGCATGCTGAGTGAATTCTGCAGTCCCCCTCAACTCCTTCTTTTGCCAGAACCTGTAGAGTTGCAAGATCCAGCCAATTATAGAGACTCTTATCTTCACATGAAAAATGGCTCTGTTGGAAATGCAATTAGGTATCAGCCATAAGGCTATTTTTGGAAGCTTGTTTGAGAAGAGCTCAAAAATAAAATTTGCCATGTGGTGGGAGATGTTAGCCAATTATCCACGATGGGGCATCACTAAACACATTTTAAACCTACTTTTAACTATATACAGCATTTAAAAGACCCACTTCTTGTCCCCTAGGGATGTCTTTGTCTTTTTGTTCTATAGGAGGTAGTTATGTTGGTGGTGTTTATAAAACTTAATCCTGGGAGCAAAACCCCCTCTTTATGTACATGAACAGCTCTTCTCAGGCTGGGGTGGTGGGGTGCAGGCAACAAGGAAGGGATACTTAACCCTGTCATTCCCAAAATGCTTCCCCAAGACTTGGGAGAGGGCCTGGTTAGTCCATAACAGTGGGAGCCGCAGAATTCAAACTAGTATTCAGGATACTAGACTGAACGCCTATGAGGGGAAAGGCATGAGATTGGGAAGCACAGATTTGGGGAGACAGGGAGGTCCATGGTCAGTGTCAAGGAGGCAGGCTGCCAGAGAGGTGTTTTTCCAAAGAGGAATATATCCCAGAGTGTGTTCTGAAGGAGCAAATTGTCATCCCCCTTCAGTCTCATTAGGAAAATGGTACCCAGATATGGTGGTACCCAGGATGCAGGCCAGGCACCCAGGCAGCACTGGTTCTCTGTACTGTGGACATGAGAGAGCCCTTAATGATTAATTCTAAATCAAGAATTATTTCTAAATGGGGTACTGCATTTATCTCAGGAGTGTTTCCTTGTGTTTCAAAGGATGTTTGTGCTTTAGTTCCTTAACATTCAAGTCAGCAATGCCCAGCACCACCCCTATGCCACTAATTCCTTTACTCTGCTGATAGAGGGTGGAGACGAGGTCAAGATCTCATGGTGGCTGTGGCTGGCCCAGTTTCATGTCATATTCCTTTTGGTTCTGTGCTCCCCCAATGCTTAGCCTCAGGCCAGGACCCCACCTCCCCAACTCCTTCTCAACACACTCCCTACATCCCCATTTTCCCCCACGTGGAACAAGGGTGCTGTGATTGCTGATGACCGATCCTGAGCTTCCCCTATACACACAGTCCTGTCCTGTGGGGCACATGAAGGTGATGACATGCCTAGATACAACCATAAGGAGAAGCTGAAGGAACTGATGATGTTTAACTCGGAGAAGACAAGTCTAAGTGGAAAAGTCAGAGCAACCTCAGAAAAGTGAAGGGCTCTCACTGTCAATGACAGAGAATTCTTTTTCTCTGCTGTCCAAGAGAACAGACCAGGTTTCTCTAAAAGTGATGGGAAGCAGGTGTTAACACCATATCAATCACTTCTTATATACAATTTAATCAGTGGAACAGCCTGGATACATACAAGCCAGAGGCGAAACAACCATTTCATTCTGTAGAAAGGATTCCAAAATTGGCTGGAAAGTTGAACTGAATGACCTCTACAACGCTCCCAGTTGTAACATCCTAGGAGTGCCCTGGAACTTTCAGTAAGTGGCAAGGTCTCCTGTGACTGCTGCATTGTCTGTCTGCTCACCGTTTGAATACTCAGTTAGCTGTAGCCTTTGAGGCATAGCATGTAACCCATGTGAGGAATGAAATATATTAGACAAGGGAGCAATGAAATTCCCAGGCTTTCTCAGCATCCCCCAGTGGCCTGATCATACCTCCCAAAATGTACAAACGAAATACAGACAGCACTGACATTTTCACAATTGTGCTGAGCCCTTAGACATAAACAAACCCCAAAGCTGCTGTCTCACCCATCTCTAAGCACAAAATCATGAAACTTTAGAGATAAAGGAAGGTTGGAGGTCATTTCACCCCAACTCCTACTCAGGACAGGAATTCTTTCTACTCTAATCCCAACAGATGTTCATCTGGATTCTGCTTGAGCATTTGCAGCAAGGGGCCTACTGCTTTGCCAGGAGCAAAGTCCATTTGGGGGTGACCAAATCCATATTGATGCAGTCCTCATCGTGAGCTGTTTATTTCTTGTATTGAACCCCAAGTCTGCCTTTGTTCATCTTTATTCCTCCCATCAGCAATAGGACAAAACAAATCTGTTCTCCATATGATGACATTTACATTTTTTAAGACAGTTGTTATCTCAGTAGCATCTCTCCCTCCAGATCTTTTCATCTCCATCTTAACATCTTAAGTCACCAGAAATATTTCACTTGGTATGATCTCAGACCCTTCACCATCCTGGTCACCATCTTCTCAGTATTTTCAATTTTACTAGTGTTTCATATGAACATTAACTCGTAGAACAAATATCACCAGTGGTCTGGCCATTGCAGAACACAAAAGGAGATATCACCTCCTTTGATCCACATACTATACTTTTTCTAATGCAACCTAGAACAATATGCATTTCATGTCAAATGATCAACCATTGTGTTCATATTAAGGCTATTGTCAACTAAAGCTAAAGTCTTCATTATCTGATATAGTTTCAAATAGTTTAAAAGAAAGAAGTGACTGATATGTATGTCATGTAGTGTTTTGCCTAAATTTTCTTCTATATACTTTAAAGTTTCATGTCTATGTCCAAGTCTATTTTGAGTTAGCTTTTGTCCATGGTGTGAAGTAGGAGTCTTCATTCTTTTGCATGTAGCAGTCCAGTTTTTCCAGACTCATTTATTGAAAAAAACTTTCCTTGTACCAGTATATATTCTTTACACGCTTGTCAAAGAATAGTTGTCCATAAATATATGGGTTTATTTCGGGGTTTCCTGTTCGATTCTATTGGTCTGAAGACACATCCTCCAAAGCAAAGTGAAGGAAAAGATGAACAGCTGGGACTACATCAAATTAAAAATCTTCTATACACCAAAAGAGACATTAACCAAAACAAAGAGATACCCTACAAATTGGGGGGGAAATTTTTCACAAAGTACTAATGGTAAGGGACTGATCACAAAGACCTACAAGGAGCTGATGAGACTCAACAAAAACAAAATAATCAAGTCCAAAAAAAAGTGGGCAGAAGACCTAAAAATATACTTCTCCAAAGAAGAAATGCAAATGAAAAAAATGTTCAATATCACTAATTAGAGAGAAATTCAAATTAAAACTACAATGAGATACCACTTTGCACAAGTGCAAATGGCACACATTACAATAATAATAATAATAATAATAATGGCACGCATTACAAAACACCAACAAATGTGGTGAGGATGTAGAGAAAAAAAAGAAATCTCCTACACTGTTGGTGGGAATGTAAACTGGTCCAACCACTATGGAAGCTATGTGGATGTCCCTCAAACTACTAAAAATGGAGCTACCATATGACCCAGCAATTCTACTCCAAGGAATCTATCCAAAGAACACAACAACATTAATTAAAAGGCATACTGTACCCCAATGTTTATTGCAGCACTATTTATAATAGGTTAGCTATGGAAACAACCCAAATGTCAAAAAAAGATGACTGGATCAAGAAAATGTGATTGATTACTCAGCAATCAAAAAAGATAAACTCATACCATTTGCAACAACATGGATGGAGCTGGAAGGGATTGTGCTCAGTGAAATCAGCCAGAAGAAAAAAGAAAAATATCAGATTATTTCACATATAGGGGAAATGTTGGCGAACCAAATAAGAGACTGGGAAAAATATGTAATAAATCAAAAAATAAACTAAGCAGGCAGCTATTAATTAGAGACATCTGCAAGAGAGGAGGAGGGATGGTGATGGTGCACAGGTGAATTGGTGGTGGGAATTATGCAGGGACTACACCTGAGAAGAGAAAGCATGCACTGTACAAAAAGGAAGAATGGTGTGAAATATATATACACTTTGCTTTGATTGTGGGTATAGTGCAGTGACATACACCTGAGAAAATGTGACCTTATTCCCCCAAATCATATACAGTGTTTTAAATTAACATGACCTTAATGATGACTATGTTGGTGGCCCTATCCATTATTAAAGGTAAACTCCTACCTCCCCCCTTAATTAATAATGGATAAATAGAACTATTCAAGGAACTACGGTCCTAGCAAAAGTTATGAGCGATAGGCTAAGCTAACAGAACTCAAAGATGATCAAAAGCAAAGGTGAAATAAGCACGTACAGCTCCTCTTCTTTCAACACAAGCCAGGGCATAAGAGGGCTCACCTCAGAAGTGATACGTGCTTTCTCCTTGCTTCCCTGACTTTACTTAACTTTCTCATAGCTTGCCACATGCTCCTGAGGTCAACTCTTCTGCTGGTGGGTGGAAAACTGACAGGTGGTCTCTCTTTGTGTCTTTGACAGGTCGCTTGAAGGAAGAGATCACACAGCGGCACCTGCAGCAAGTAGCTCTAGGTAGGTACAAAGTGGAACCTACAGAGAAAGAAAATTGAAGGTAACACAAGCTGACCTGGTGTCAGAAACCCACACCCAGCGAAAAGACAGCCTATCCAACACTTGGGAGGGTGAGGAAGGCCAGGTTGGCTCACTGCAGCTTCCCCCTGGTGCCCTTCCTCCCCAGGACCAGTTTCCCCAGCTTTGTGCCACTCCTGGCTGTCAGCCCCTGGCTGTCAGTGCGTGGCCCTCCAACCTTCCTGCTACTTCCTCATCCTCCTGATCTTTCCCACTCTGCACCCCAGTCTAAACGTTCCCACCATGCCCCAGCTCCTCAGATTCAACTGTCCTAGAGTCATTACTAACTGATCCAGGGAGCCTTGATGATGAAAACAACTTCCCTTTGCTGAATCACTTCTCTACCCCACTCTATATGCAGCGTCCCCCTTCCATTCTCACTACAGCCCTAAGAGGCAAGAACATTTGCCTGATCAAGGTGCTTCAATGGCTTGGCCAAGGTTACCAATAAGTGTTGGAACTAGGATGTGAATCCATTTCTGAGTGCAAAGTTCCTCTCAGCCTTCCCTTCCCCCTACCCTCCCCCATTTGCTGCCCTCAACAATGAGGAGCTTAACCCAATTCATTAAAAGACAAATGTAATCTAAAAGCTCTTAAAAGAAATCTTAAGAGAACGAAGTGGATTTAAAAGTGGACTTCTGCAGAAAAACGCCCTTTTTTGATATGTGACCCAAGAAAGTTACCTGGGAAAGGAATGCAGCTACCAAAAAGAGTGGTAGTGAGGCCTCCTGGGAAGGACATCCTCACCCCATCTCCAGCCAGCCTGGGACCAAGCACCTACAGGCTTTTGTCTACATGAGGCATTCATGTTCCCAAACAAGGTGTTCCTCTGAAGATAGTCTGGCCCCTGAAATGGAGAAATTCAGCATCCAGAACCTGTGGGGGGAGGGAGGAAGCCCCAACATCATGCATGTGGCCTATTTGACCCTCATAACTCGATTAGGAAAGTTAGCTAATGAGTTTCAGTAATAATGATGTAGGTCACATCAAGTAATTGTTGATTACATCAGAAACCTAGAACAAGGGAGCCAAAGAGACACTGACAGAAGCTTAGCTTTCCACTGTTGGTTCCGGGACAAGAGTGTCACGTGGACACTCCAGGCCTGCTACCCGTTGTCAGGAACGGGAAACTAAGGACTCAGAGCTAAGACTCTGCCCATTGCTTTCTCCAGCAGGACCTAGGGCTGCAGACTCTAACTAGGACCTAGACTCTAACTTGTGAGGCAGAGCTTAGGAAAGGCCTCTGCAAGTGCAGGCCTCTGTTGGGAAGCTGAAGCTGTAACAAGGTGACCTCCTGGCCATGCCTAGGGGCTACCTCTGGGCCTTACAACACTGGGCTCTTCAGCACTCATGCTGCTGACTGAGTAGAAATAACAATGTGAAAAATGCTACCTCATGACTCCAGAGGCCACTTTCATCTAGTGTCTTAACCGTGAGTTTCAGGGCAAGAGGTACTCCATTCCCTGAACCCCAGTCCCCGATTCTCCAGGGCCTTTGGAAAGCCCCTGAATCTCTTCAACTGCAGGTTGCTCCTTCATTCCTCTCCTTATCTCTCTGGGAGCCTTTTTCTCAATTACCTTTTTCTCAATTACAGCAGGTGTCAGGTTCAGCAGGGCCCAGCTTTGCCTGAAGTAATCAGTAAACTTCAAACAGAAAGCACTTTGGCTGGAAGGCTAATTAAGAGCAGTTGAAATACCTGTTTAATTTAAAAAGCATACCATCCCAATTAGAGCAGTGTTAACATCTCCCAGCTGCCATGTTGAAATTAAAATGCCTTGTTGCTGTCCAAACTCCTTGGGAGCTTGTCTGATGGAGCCTATGGAGCCCCCAGGGCCTGTGTGCGTCAGGTGGCTGCATTTCAGAGGGAATCCTTCTCATTGAGAGAAAGTCCTCAGTAACTAATGGTTCATTGGACTGCTCCTGTCTTGATCCTCACCCTTCAGGCCAGTTTGGAGCCAAAGGCTAGAATCCACGGCTTTTCTGAGACTAAAAGCAACTCGATCCATATATGGTTTAACTGATGTTCTGAAATCAGCTGTCAGAACAAAGCAGTGACTGTATCTGCTTCCATTTTCTGGTTTTCTTTGTCTCGTGTCCTTGAGATGCCCACTTTCTCTCCATGTCCTTGGTCTGTCTCCCCACTTTCCCTCACCCTCCACTTTAAGGGTTCCCTTTGTCATTGTTTCCACTGCATTCATGTTTCTAAATTTCTATGAAGTGGAGGTGGGATTGCTTGTTTGTCTTGGGGGAAGGGATAACGGATAAATCTGAGCAAGAGAGGTTTTCTCATGTATTTTGCATAACGATATGTCTCTGCATGTATTTAGACTAGATGCCCAAGAATGTTTGCATAAAGCCAATCCTGTGTCCCCAAAGAGCAAAGATTCATTCAGTGGTGATGTGAGAGGTGCCGGGTAGAAGAAATTGTAGACTGATGAAGGAAATTCATTTCCAATGAGGTGCTCAAGCTGGTTTGGCCCATCTGGAGGGCAGTAAACAACTTAGGAATTTGGAGACCCATGGTTAAGTGCAATTGTTGTTAAAAATTCAAGTATAGAGCCTCCCTGGTATCACAGGGGTTAAAGTTCAGTGCTGTCAAGTTGTCACCAGCCTCTACAGCAAGAGTTCAATTCCTGGCTAGGGAGTTGACCCACATGGCCCAGCAGACCTCTCCTGTCTCGCCCACTGCTCCCCTCAGCAGTGTATTTCAGTCCATCTGCCTGTTCTATGCCCCACTCTGTCTCTGGTGAACTCTCTCACCCTCTGCACCTCTGGCCTTGTATCTGATCCTGCACCCGGGATCTTGTATGCATAAACAAAAAAAAAAACAAATATTTTTAAAAAAATTAAATTATAGAATTTTACAATTAAATAATTTGTATTTAAAAACCAAAGCTAGCAAAAGACTTAAAATGTATCACCTTCTAATTAATT